GGAAGAGCTTAATGTTATTGCATTTAAAGCTTTTCAGTTATGAAATGGTAGCTTTTATGCACTTTTGGCTGATTATGGCATTACTTTTTGAAAATTTGACACTTAGGACTCTCTCTCTCTCTCTCTCTCTAACTGAAAATTCATAGCCATATATACACGTATCTGTATATGTAAATTTATAGAATATATATATATATATATATATATAGTTCACGCATAAACCAAAACCTTTCTCCATCAAAATATATCCTTTTTGGTTCAAACACCACTTCTGTTGTCATTACTTTGAATCTATGAGAGAAGTAACACAGAACCGCTTGTTGAGTATGGCATTGCCATTGCAAGCTAATAAATGTGCCTAGAAAACGTGCATTTGTTAACTCAATAAAAATTCCTTGTTAGGATGGCAACACTATAAAGCAGATCAAGAAGGAGAATAAAGAAGGAAACATTACAAAAAATAAAGTTCATTTGTGCAAGCCTTCGGTACTCCAGAAGGAGGATAATAAGCCCCCTCCACTAGTGAGCGCATTGAAGACTTCAGCTGAACAAAATGCTGCGAGCTTTCACTTTCCCGGTCACACCCGGGGACGTGCTGCACCGTCTTCATTAACTCAACTCATTGGTGTCAAGCCTTTTCTTCATGATTTACCAGAGCTTCCGGAGCTTGACAACCTCTTCTCTCCTGAAGGGCCAATTTTATATGCGCAACAAGAAGCAGCCAAGCTGTTTGGGGCGTCAGAAACATGGTTTCTTGTTGGAGGTACCACATGTGGAATCCAAGCAGCGATCATGGCAACTTGTTCGCCTGGAGACGTTCTCATTCTCCCCCGGAATTCTCATTTATCCGCCGTATCCGCTATGGTGTTATCTGGTGCAGTGCCTAAGTACATCATCCCTGAGTACAATGTTGAATGGGATATTGCTGGAGGGGTCATTCCATCACAGGCAAGTCTAGTCTAGTATAATGACATATAGTCTTGCCAGTAATGACCAAATTTTACCTTGAAAGTCGCGTTAGATATATGAAACTAACAAAATAAAAGAAGAATAGCGTTACATGCTTGTCTTTACAGGTGGAGATGGCAATTCAGGAACTAGAGATGGAAGGTCGAAAACCAGCTGCAGTTTTCATCACTTCTCCTACTTACCATGGTATATGCAGCAACTTGAGTGAGATCTCTCAGCTGTGCCACTCTCATGGAGTCCCTCTAATTGTTGATGAGGCTCACGGGGCTCATCTCGGTTTTCATCCCCGGATGCCTAATTCAGCGCTTCAGCAAGGTGCCGATTTGGCTGTGCAATCAACCCACAAAGTTCTTTGCTCTCTCACGCAATCATCGATGCTACACATGTCGGGGAATCTAGTCGACAGAGAGAAAATTTGTGGATGTCTTCAAACCCTTCAAAGCACCAGTCCTAGTTATCTTCTTTTAGCATCCTTAGATGCAGCTAGACATCAACTTAGTGAAAACCCTGAAGGCATTTTCGAAGAAGCACTGCAAATGGCTCTTGATGCTAAGAATACAATAAGAGGGCTTCCAGGCATTTCTGTTCTTGACTCGCAGAGTTTGCCGAACTTCCCAGTAATTGATCCCTTGAGGCTTACCATTGGTTTTGGACAGTTGAGTTTGTCTGGCTACGAAGCAGATGAAATTATGTACGACGATCACGAGATTATCTGCGAACTCGTTGGAACTAGCTCGATTACTTTCGCATTTAACCTCGGAACTTGTAAGGAACATGTTGAGAGGCTAGTGTCAGGCGTAAAGCATGTAAGAGTGTCATCCACTCGAGGCACTGTAGCAAAGGCAGAGCCCAGCGTTTCTGCACCTTTTGCTGATTTCAAAACAAGCTTGATTCCGAGAGATGCCTTTTTCGCAAGTAAACGGAGAGTGAGCATTGCAAACTGTGTTGGAGAGGTTTGTGGGGAGCTTATATGTCCATATCCGCCAGGAATTCCGGTAATGATCCCCGGTGAGACTATTACTGAGAGGGCCTTGGATTATCTCTTAGATGCTAGAAGGAAGGGTGCTATGATCAGTGGGACTTCCGATCCCCGGCTCTCTTCCATACTTGTCTGCAAGAAGTAGTCTATGGCAAAGGTGTGACTCCGGCTAAATTTGTGAAAATAACCCTTTCAAATCATCAAGGAATCTTGAGTATTCATAATTCAGAACTCTTGAATTTGGTAAGCATACAATCACTGACACCATTGGTATATCTTGGATCCGAGCGACGCTAAAAATATTGGTACTTTTAGAATAACACAAAAATTTAGGGATATTGTCGAGAATACATTTTTCAAGAAGAATCGTCCATCATTTTTTTTTTTTTTTTTTTTTTTTTTTTTTAAGTCATTTAGAAGTCTTTTGACCGATGGATATTTTGTGCTATAAAAATAATACATCAGTATGGTGTGGATATTTACAGTAATAGCAGCAGAAATTTTGCAGATACTATCATTCTTGATCTGAGTTGATGATAATATGCATAAAACTTTCGATAAGCTGTTCCTGCTGTTGTGTTTCACAAAAAAGTTAAATTTCTAGATCTATCTTTCCCCTGAAAGTACATATATATTGATTTTTACAAGAACAAAACCACCCATCTGTCGTCTGGGCTCTCTGGCATATATAATTCTGTGCGAAGGTAAAAGGACCAGATACAAAAATGACATTCAATAAACAAAAGAATATCTGGATTCTGGACTGGACTATCATTCCCTTCATTCAAAGTCCCATTTCAAGATTGACCACAGCCTTTTAGCTTGAGTCAATGCTGGCTCTTGGATCACTGCTATACATTTCCTTTGGCGGACTTTTTTTTGCTCGCTTCTTTGCAGGTCGGTTGATGGGATCTGGGACGCAGGGAGGAGGAAGGCGTGGCATGCCAAGCTGCAAGTCAGGAGATTCATCTGGTCCAGCCCATGCTAAGGGACGCACTGCAGCAAAACAATGATGTTATTACCGGTTCAGCATTGAATTTGTTGGTTTCATGCAGCAAAAAATCATGTCCTATAACAGATCTCTACTGCCTACTGGGGGTTAAAAGAAAAGCAAAGAAAAGAAAAGAAAAGAAAAGAAAAAAAAAAGATACACGTGTAGAGGGTTATTGACTTTGCACCCTGCATTTGGGTGATGCAATTGATCTGTAATCGAATTTCTTATAGCATTTCGGTTGATGCCAATTGACTTGTAGCAAAAGATTTCTACTAATATATACAAATATATAAACACTGTAGATAATTCATAATTGTTGACTTTGCACCATGCATTTTAGGGGTGCAGTTGGTCTGTACTCAAATTTCTTAATGTGTCTCGAACTTTACATTGCTTAGACATAAGCTGTTCACTTATGTTATGGAGTATTTAGCTTAGTATGTGCATACCCAAATCAGGTTCAAGACGTTCATTGCCATTGCAAGATGCCAGCAAACGAGCAGGGCGCTTTCTCACATAATTTTCCTGCAAGGGCTTTGGGATTTGGAACGAAAATTGCGACATGGTCACCCCGTTTGATACATACTCAGGATGTTCCAATAAATACCTAAAGAAATCAAAAGCACAGATGAAAGGCAGCGAAGAAATCATGAATGAAAATTTAAATGAACTCCAAGTAATATGTTGTCCTTTCTGGTATTTCAAGTCATTAGATGTATAGATTCAATATTGAAGAGCCATAATTCTAAAAGAATGGGTTAGCAAAGACATACTTTTGGACCTCTACCATTGAGCGAAGTCTCTTGCCTGATGGTGCAACATAATACCTGAAAACCAATGGATAGGCATATTGTCAAAGATTTAAAGGTGGATTAAAGATTTAGATAGAAAAGGTACAGAAAAGTCCAGTATCTATAAAACGAGACAAGATTTAAGAAATAGTGATAACATTAAGAATCATAATCATCATCAAGCAAGAAAAGGGTTCATACACATCTGCAAACTTGGTGCTTCCTTCACCTCTAATCCTCAGCAGCCGTTGCCATCCAGGAGGGGGCTGCGCAATATTAGGCTTATCAATCGCCCACAGCCTGCTGCCATCTTGAGAAATGTCAGCCGGGTCATCACATGAGATATCCGGCCGCCACTCACGAGCTGTCTCGCAGTAAAAGGGCTGCTCCAGAATGTGCTCACGTATCTCTTCGTACTTCTCCTTTGTTGGGATGAGCCTCCATTTGAAACAATTTGCGCACTGAACCGTAAAAGCTCCAACAGATGGCAAAACTCGGGGTGATTGCTGATTTGAGATGGGAAATCCTTGACGTCTCGGATGTTGTTGGAATGGAGTAGCGGGTTCAGGGGCAGGCACGAGTGTACCATTAGCTGCAGGATCATAAAGCACCAGCTGCTTAGAGGCATCACCTGATTGGTTATTTTCGTCCTCGGAAGACTCGTCATCTGAAGATGACGACGATGAAGAAACGTCTATAAAATCCTGAGAAGTGTTGTCTCCCTGACTTAAGAAACTCGAATCGTGGAAGTTGTTCTCCGTCATTGTAAATTTAAACGTTATTTTACGAGGATGAGGCAACATTGACCTGGGCAGATGGGAAAAGCCTGCACATGAAACAACGCAGGAAAAAAAATACATAAATCATCGCCACAACAAAAGCTCATTTCAGTGCCATTTAAGCCAAAGCATCCATTATGTGCTTACTAGTAGATGCGTTCTATGCTGAACAATGTACACATTTACAATCTTTTAAATTTCAGTGCCATGTACAAATTTCTAGTTCATGATGTAGGCATGGCAGAAAAACTATTTGTAGAAGAATTGGGAAACAAAAATTCCTAAAAATTTTCCTCTTTAATCACCTGAAAATATAAATTGTTTTCCCAAGAAAAACTGAAGTTCCTACTTACTAGACAGGTTCTATACTATACAAGGTACAAAATTTACAATCTTTTGTTGTAGTTTCAGATAAAATATAGTAGAAGAAGAAAAAAAATAAAAAAATAAAAACCAAATATTTAGAATGTTCCTCTATAATCCCCTGAAACCACAAAATGTTTTCCCCAGTAACTCCAATCTAAAACCTACATTTTTTCATCTTTAGAAGCTACAAATTTACTATCTTTTGTTCACTTGGCGCTGACAGAGAAGCTATAGTAGAAAAAAATAAATGAATTTCTAAAATGTTCCTCTCTAATCAGCTGAAAATACAAGATTTATTTTCCCAATGACTCCAAAATCTAAATTTTATCATCAATACACTTGCAATCTTTAGTTCATTTTGGCTGGCAGAGAAACTATTTTACAATAATCAGAAGAAAAAAAAAATGAAACTCCAAAAATGTTCCTCCAATTAGCCTGAAAATGCATGTTTTCCCCAAGAAATCGAAGAATTTAAAAAGCAACAAAAAAAAACCCTGAAATTCCTAAAAATGTTTCTCTCGAATCACCTGAAAAGAAAAAAGACCTTTTTTTGGGGGGCTAGAGCTCCAAAACCTCCATTTTTAACTAATATTTCTGAGCTCTGAAAAGCATATGAGATCTGAGAAAACTTCTATACTTAGCATGGATCTAGCAAAGATACAACAAATCCAAGCTCATAACTCCAATCAATTAATAGACTCCATAAAAAGCAACAACAATAATCTTGTAAATTACGAACAAAAAAAAAAAGAAAACATTTTTACAAAAACAAGAACAACATGTAGATTATGAAGATTAGCGAACCACAGATCATACCTATCTCAGAAGAAGATAAAACGTGAGATCGTCGTTTTTTTTTTTTTTTGGAAATGGTTTTGTCAGTTTGAGAGCTTTTTCGCTTCTTCCATGGAAATGGAATTAAATTACAGACATAGAAAAGAAGCGAGAAAAACCAGATTAGATTAGCTTAATCTAAATCTTATAGTAATAGTAACACTTACATCAAATAAATAAAAATAATAAATTTATAAATGATAGTCTGTCTGATAGCGAATGGAAGGGAGATAAAAGAGACGATCGGATACCTCTTTTTTTTTTAACTACTTATTAAATAGAAAAAAAAAAAAAAAAAAAAAAAAGAGAGAGATTTTTTTTTCCTAAATGTCGTTTGGTCTTCTTATTATTCTTAAGTATCTCGAATATTTGTTTATGTTGTTTCGATAAAATAAAAAGTAAGTAAATAAAATTACATAGACCAGTCCCAGGACTTGGTGAAGACTGAAGATAAACGGACAAAACAATAAACATAAGGGAAAAGATTTTTAATTATGTAAAGATTTAATAATAATAGACGTGTTACCCCATTTACTTTTACTAATATATAAGTGAGAAGGTACTTACAAGGCCTTTATTAGAGTTCAAGCTTTTCTTTCTTAAAATATAAGAAAATTCAATTATAACTCAATAAGTATGTAATTGTTACTCAATTTCATAAAAATTCGACGGTCTAATAAAAATGTAAAGTAACAATATGTTTTCATAGAGAAAAAAAAAAAAAAAAAAAACGTAAAGCAATATAGGGTTTTTTTTTTTTTTTTCAAATAAAACTGTTGTGATAGGATGTGTGAAATTAGAGAATATTGGTATTTTAAAAAGAATAAAATAGAAAAGATAGGTGAACTTACACTTTTAATGTATGTTTTGAGATTTTTACATTTTACTTTTGATTTAAACTCGAATTTTTTTCAAATTTTTTTCCCTTGTGAAAAATGGGCTAGAGCGCTAGGCTAGGTTGAATATATGTTCATAAGCGCCAAGCAATTTTACGTTTTAGGTCGCGTTCCACCACTTATAAAATGGTAAGTTTCACTTGGATGGATATATATGATCATTCCTTAATGGGACTCACCATTTGTGAGTGATGAAATTGTTATTGAGTGAAGTTAAATAGAAATTCTAAAAATTTTAACATAGTTTACAAGTATTACAATAAAAATAACAATGTTTTATTTATTTTAACAGATGATCAAAATAGAAATTAAGAAGACAAATGACTTTCAATTTATCCGTCAATAGTGCAGTTTGCATAAGGTATAAGGCTTAAGATTCGACCATAAGAAGTACGTTTTTTATTGACCTTGAACTTTTTCTATAGAGGTGTGTTTTTAAAAAGACGTATTTGTGCTCGTTTTTTATGCCAGCTTCTCATCACATGAGTTTCGTGCATGTTTTCCTTCCCTCTCGCGTTCAACAATAAGTGGTGGAACCGGTCAATGATCGGGGTTAAGTTATGCTTGTATTGCGAAGTCACTTATGTTGGCATTAGTGTTTCTATCTTCTTGTTTTGGAATACAATTTAACTTAAAAAAAATAAAAATAAAGGAATGTATTTTATTTATCAATGATAAATAGATGTGGGGTGATCCATTGATTACACAGAATTACCTAAGGGTGTCTGCAGTCAGTTTGGGCTTTTTTATATATATATATAAATTACAGAAGTAGAAAGAGGAATGTATTTTAGATGCTTTATAGTTTGAATTGTACTAAATTATGTCTTCATGTTTTAAATTGTAGGCTAAATATGTACCTTTTTCAGTCTACGTTTTTTTTTATTATAAAAAAGACCTAAATATCTTTCACAATTTTCAATTTATGTTAATTCTTATTCTTATTTTTACCAAAAAAAAAATGTAAATCCGAAATGAAAAATACATAGTCAATTGTTATGAAGAAAAAAAGAAGAATAAACGTTTAAAAATGTATATTTTTGTATGGAAGTTAAAATATAATATTAAGAAACAAGATTTGTGTTTTTTTTTTTCAGAAAAGAAAACTTTTTAATTAATATGTTGAATAAGCTGAGGTGTAAAGGGCGTAATGCTCCTAAATCCTAATAATAAGGGGCCATTAAGTTAATGGGTGGGGGGCTTTAGGCGGTTAAGCCGGAGAGAAGGCGAGTGTCGTTTTGAGAGAACGATTGTTTTCTAGAGAGTGAGTAGTGTGATCGATTAAAAAAAAAAAAAAAAAAAAGATCATCAGTTTCAGTTAAGAGAGAGAGAGAGAGAAAGAGAGAGAGAGAGAAATCTGAGTGAATGGTAATGGAATTAGGAAAGAAAGAAGAAGGAATAATAAGAAAAGGGCCGTGGAAGGCTGAGGAAGACGAAGTACTGATAAACCATGTGAACAAGTATGGTCCGAGAGACTGGAGCTCCATTCGATCCAAAGGCCTTCTTCAGCGAACCGGAAAGTCTTGCCGTCTCCGATGGGTCAATAAGCTTAGACCTAACTTGAAGAAGTAAGATCATGAGATGATCATTATCATCTATATTTTTTCATTTCATATTACAGATCTCGTCTCATCAGTTTAACATGCACAATATCTTATCGTATAACATGAACATGAAGATGAAGATGAACATGTGGTTTTTCGTTTGTTTGTTTGTTTTTTTTTTTTCTTTATTATGTTAATTAGTGGTTGCAAATTTTCACTTGAGGAGGAGAGGGTGGTGATAGAGTTGCAGGCAGAGTTGGGGAACAAGTGGGCGAGAATCGCGACGTATTTGCCCGGGAGGACCGACAACGATGTCAAGAATTTTTGGAGTAGCAGGCAGAAGAGACTCGCCAGGATTCTGCACTCATCTTCTTCTTCTTCAACTCCTAATTCCACCATAAATAAATCACATTCACATAATAATAACAATAATAATAATAATAAACATAAAAGGCCCATTCCTATTGCTGCTCATAATGAAGTTCCCCCACTGCCTATGGATCAGGTAAATGGATTCAATCAATGTATTATTATTTGTCATTTCTAGTCTTTTTATCTTTTTGATGATTTAATCTTGCTAGTACTAGTAACAGAAAATGTCTAAGTTTGTTGTCCTGCAATTGCATGCATAATTAGGTCATAAAAGGATACCTTTTACCTTGAAAAAAAATATAAAAAAGATATCTTCTTTTTTATCTGCTTTACTCCAAATATCTTTTTTATTTTATTTTAATTAACCTACTGTGAAATGAATTTGGTTATAGAATTTAGGAAGAAGGAAAGTGGAAGCGGGAAGAACATGAGATGAGAAGGGAGGAAAGAGGGAGAGAAAAGAAGATAGGAAATGAGGAAACGTGGGGGTAGTGGGAGATTTTCTAGGGGGTCAATTTTCAAAGACTCAATTTGGAGGGAAATTGAAAAAAAAAAAAAAAAAAAAAAAAAAAAAAGGATATTCAAAAGTTCTTTTTACCCTTTTTTTTTACAATTTAATTTTTTGATGGAATTTTTGCAATGCAATTTAATTTGCACGTTAGTGGGTAGCTATATTAATTTGCATAACAACTAATATTCATATTAATCTACTTATTCAAAGAAAATAACTAAAAATATTTACTAGAAAGGCTTTTATTTTTATTTTTTTAGAAAACATTAATTATTATTTTTAGTTGTAATTCTAAAAATATATAATTACTTAATTTGTTTATTAAGGTAATTGTTTTCGTAAATGGTTATCTGGCTTTCAATTTTAGAATGATAAGAGGATTATTTCGAATATTGATATGTGGGGGAAAAAAAAGAGCTGTAATTTTCAACTAAAAAATAAATAAAAAGATGTCTCTTTTCTTATATGCTTCCTAATCATTTTTTGTTTTACCTCTGAACTAGAATCTGGTAATAAAGTTGCTTACACTTGATTTGAAAATGAATTTTACTTTCACAACGGTATGAAGGCAAGTTTGAGGTATCCTTTGTGTTTCCATCAGTAACAGTTCGTCAAATTAGTAGCAAATTTGTTTACAAACTTAGATAAAAGTGTCCTTTTTTATTCAAGACTAGATAGACTACACTAGAAAAGGCAAGATCTTTGTGTCTCCGTTTGTTCTTGTTAATAAATAATCTGTTTTTCTGGTATGCAGGGTCGAATTTTCTCTGCTTCATCCGCAGGAGAATTGTCGTCAAAGGTACCATCATACACATCATCCTTCAACGAGAACTCCTCCGAAATCAAAATGGTGTCGCTGCCGGATCTCGTCAACCCAAAACTGCTTAATTTCGAACAAGATCTCGGTCAACCATTGTTCAACTGTTCTACCGAGAAGAATCCATGCATCGATACACAACCATTAAACCTGAATCCTTTCCCTCCAATGTCACAATCCCAATTGGAACTCGCATTTCCATCTGAAGAACACCAGGACTTTTTGGCAAGGTTTGGTGAGCCTTACTTTGATGTGTTTGGATCTCTGGAGGCTTCAAAACTTGGAAATGGAACAGAAATTCCATTTTGCATACCACCATTTCTTGAACCAGTGGGAAAGCCAGACAATTTGAGTCCTACCCCCGACAGCCTCTTCGATGACTTCCCGGTTGACATGTTCGACCAGATCGAGTCGCTTCCTAGCCCACCACCACCATAGCCGCGACTAACAATTACAATTACACTATTCTTTTTCATTTAGGCTCTATCATAGACTGAACCAAGTTGTACTAGTTTCTTTTCCTGTTAAGTCATAACTTTAACATGAACCTTGTTGACATGGTATGATGGTAATTCATTCTTATTTCTCCTATTTTTATTCATTCTTATGAAAGTTCCACAACAGGGCATATTATCGAGTGATCAAAAGATGATAATGGTAATATTAATATAACCAAACATATGATATCAATATACCCTGTAGTTTTTCCTTAGCGAAGAGCTAAGTCTTTTCAATTTTCATTTTGTACAAATGAGAAACTTGCTAATAAATTAGAATAATTATAATCATGAAAATCCATAGTTTCTTTTTAGTAGATACTGGCAATTAAGAACAGTTGTAACCCCAATCCACATTTCATTCAACAAAGTGGGAAATATTTAAGAACCAATAAAATGTTTGAAAAGTTCAATAAAAAAATATGATCTGTCTGAAAGAGTTTTTATTCATAAACAACTAAACATGATTAAAAAATTGCTTCTGACGATAAAAACCTAGCCAGTGTCGGACATGACAGATTTAGAATTTTCGAAGAATCACAAATTACTTGGCACAAATTCTCTAAACATCCCAGAAATCACCTAAATTTCAGGCCAATTAAAACAATTACTAACTAATTATGCTTAAAACCAATATATAACAATGTGCAGAAGAAGAGAAACCCTAGAAAAACCATACGATTTCGATTTCAATTCGATTCGTCAAAAACATGAAATAAGACACAAAATTTATCACTGAAACCCACTTCTCAACATCCCAGAATCACATAAATATCAAACCAGATACTAATTAAGAAAGCAACCCTAGTATTAGGTAGAACAAGAGAGAACCCTAAGCCGATGTTATGTGAAATCGACGGATGATAAGAGATATCAGACGGGGCTGAGGAGCTGAGAGAGATGGGGCTTGGGATCGGAGTTCATGCCGATGATGATGACGAGAGGGATGAAGCCGTAGTGAGTAATGACCTTGGCCTTCTTCGCCGCCCATGTCGTCCACTCCTTCACAAGCTGCGCCGTCGATTTCTCCTCCTCCTTCGACCCCTTGCTCGATTTCCCCTTCACCTTCAGACTAACCCTAGACGCCATTGAAGAAGCTTCTCTCTCTGTTTCTTCTCTCTCTCTCTCTAGAAGTTGAAAACCCTAACAAGTGAGATTGAATCAATTTGGGGACATGGGAATCTAATTATAATCGTATGGTGCTTATATTATATACCCTATGGAATATTTGAGAACATTGCGGGGCATTTTTATGAGAGCATTATGGAAAATTATCTTTTATAATTTTTCGCATTTTTTTTTAAAATAAAAATTTTGATTTTTTTTGTTATATTTCCTCTTAATAGAGCTCCAACTTTTATTATTTACTATAAAATCTTAAATTTCATAAATATAAAAGGCCCGCTTATTTTATATATTTAAATTTTTATTTTATTTTATTTTAATATTTTTTTCATAACAAATTTAAAATTAAAAATTATGATTTGAGTATACTTTAATTTTTACATCCTTACAAAAAGTGGATGTCAATAAATAAACGATAAATAAAGTGTCAATGTCAAAATTTTAAAAAACTTGAGATCTAATTCGTTGGCTAATAGTTTATTCGAAGTATATTTCTGTAAGATACATTTTGTCTATTTATCTGAAGATGGTCATCAACTATATTTAAAATCCTAAAACCTAAGTTAAAATTTGTTTAATATTCTAAACCTAAAGTTAAATTTTATCATATACATTGAAAAAGTCATGATAGGAGAACAAAAAATTCCTCTTTGACCAAGCAAAACAAAATTCATACCAGTCCAACGCCTATTATCTTCTCAAAACACAAATTTCCAACAAATGCTTCTTGAAAACTTTGTTGTAGAGTGCAATATAAGCAAATATGACTTCTAGACAAATACTAACTAGGATAAAATAAAATATCTCTTTGATTGCCCAAATATCAAAGTTTAGAGTTGTTTGATGAAAACCTTAAAATAAATAGTAAGAAAAAAAAAGCTAGAACACAAATTTAAGACCCGTTTAGTTCGCTGATTCGAGTTAAGATATAACTTTATGTGAAAACTTTTTACTGTAGCAAAAAAGTTAGATGTGACTATTTCTGAGAGCTATTTACTGTAACAAAACTCAAATTTTAAACTCCAATCGGTAAAATAAATCGGGCCTTAAAGCATTGCAGACTCTAAACTCTGTAAAGAGAAGGGTTCGAACTTATTTGGTTCGCAGTTTTTAATAAAAAAGTTTGAAAAAAAAATTTAAAATTTTGTAAGCAAAAGAGATTTAAACAATAATTTGAACTTTTATGTACGTGCATTTAGATACCTATTTTACTTCAATTTACCCACCTAATTGAACTGATCGGCCGGACTCCACAAGAGAAAAAAAGGGCCCACTTATAATATTTATAAAGGTAAACTTGATAAATATTTTTTAAAAGTGTATAAATTAAAATTTTTATTTTTTACTTTTAATTTATAATTTTTTTAATTAAATAATTACACTAATAAAAAAATATTTTTAAAAAATAAAAAATAAAAATTCAGACTTGTAGATAAATTTTTGTAATTTTCTTTATTTATTTATTTTTTTAGCAAAGAGAAAGGCCCACTAGGAGACTCCAGCCAGCACACGCGGCTCCATCACCAACCAGTCAAAACAAAGCAAATTAATAAAATTTAATTAAAAACTAATAAACATATATAAAGGAAAAGGTGTCGTATAGATTGTGTGAGAGAGAAGCCTTTTTTGTTGTTCCAAATGAAGGCCTCTCCTCCTCTAGAAACAAAGAATTAAAAAAATAATAATAAAGAACCAAAGAGAGAGGAGACGCAAAACGCAAAAAGCTTAGCAGGTAAGAAATCATATTCATGGAAGAAGAACATAACACAAACACTAACACAAATTTATTATTTGGAGATAATTCATTAATGGGGTTTTCCTTTTCATGTTTTTATTCTTCTTCTTCTAATTCTTATTCTTGGGATTCTAAAAATCCCAACTTGTCTTTGCCGGCCCAGGTCCCCCACCACCACCTTTTCTTCACGGCCTTTTTCCCATAATTTTTTAATCTTTTAATTGATTACCCACTTTTGATTTTGGTCTCTCCTACTTAGAATTTAGATTTACATCTGTTGTCAGCTCAAAAAGTCGCATCTTTTTTCTTCTATTTATACAATTCCTTCTTGTTGTTGCTGCTGCTGCTGTTAATTCTCTATTCCACACAACACCAAATATATATATATATATATATATATATATATAGGTCAGATTCAGAATTTCACTGTTTTTGCATGTTGAGCTCAAGGGTCTCCATCATTAGGCTTTGGATTTGCCGTTTCCTTAAATCCCAACAGCTGTTTGTTTTATTGCTTTGTTTTTTTGTTTTTCTTTTTTGTTTTTTGTTCTCCTGATGTGTGGATATTATTTTTGGTGGAATTGAACATCTTCTTTAATGTCCTCCAATGAATTTCCTTCCACGCATCTCCTTTCAGATCTAAAATGTCGTTGCTTGTTGTGTCCTTTTCTCTCATAATTTTCTTATTGCATTAGAGTAAAGTGTTTTCCTTTCAGCTTGAGATCTTAAACTTTGATTTTGATCTTTATGGTTTTCTGAGTTGTCGTGGACAGATCAATGGGATTCAGCTGGTATTAAGATAGATCCTAACTTGGGATAATATAAAGTCAAAAAAGAGAAATTGAATTAGATGCTATGTCAGTTATAATGTCAAATGATTTATGAATTCATTGTGGACGGATCAATGGGGTATAGTTGGTAGATCCTCCAATAAATTATTGGTATGTGTGGCTACATCATGTGATTCATACCACTTTCTTTGCAGGTTTTTGTGTCTCCTCTCCTCTCAAAAAGGCTCAGAGAATAAGAGGGGGAAAAGGGTAAAGAAATCTAATTTGAACAAGCTTAAGTATTTGGTAGAAATATTGGTACGTGTTTATGTTATAATATATCATGTGATTTATCGATTGTACCATTTTCTTTGCAGGTTTTTGTGTCTCCTCTTCCCTTAAAAAGTCTTATTCGAGAATAAGCTGAGAGGAAAAGGGTGGGACCCATTTTCATGGATTACGAGAGTAACAATTGGATATGGGATGGTGTGTACAACTTCCCGCACCTGTTTGGCGGTCTAATGCTCACTGCTGCTTTGTTGGGGCTGTCCACCAGCTATTTTGGTGGAATTGGTGTTCCTCTTCTGCCGTACTTGTGGTCAGATTTGGGAATTTTCTATAAGAAGAAGCGCGACAAGAAGCGTATTCGTGTTTACATGGATGGCTGTTTTGATCTCATGCACTATGGTCATGCCAATGCCTTGAGGCAAGCCAAGGCTTTGGGCGACGAGTTGGTCGTCGGGGTTGTTAGCGATGAGGAGATTATTGCCAACAAGGGTCCACCTGTTCTGTCCATGGAAGAGAGGTTGGTGGCAATGCGTGGATTTCTCTTGTTCCTTGTCTAATTTTTATTCCGATGCAATTGTTAAGAAACATTAGACTGTTGTTTTCTTCATCGTTGAGTTGCTTTTAATCTCTATCTCCTCACTTTGCTTTGTAAAATCTTAACTTAATTATGGTATAAACACAATTATGATAGATGCATTTTTTAGATAGAATTATAGCTTGTGAATGTGATTCCCTGATTGTCTTACTATTTCACTCAGTTACACAGTTATCCACACAAATGGTCCTAGTCAGTTGCAAATATTTTGGATACTATGAGAATTTCGTGCAGTTGTTTCTGGGATACATATAATAAGAATCATCATTTAGGTGCACGATAGCCAAGGACTTCCTTTGAACTGATTTTGAAGTTCTTTCTAGGCTGTCTCTTGTTAGCGGGCTGAAATGGGTGGATGAAGTCATAGCCAATGCTCCTTACGCGATTACCGAGCAGTTCATGAATAAACTCTTTAATGAGCATAAGATTGACTACATCATACACGGTGATGATCCTTGCCTACTTCCGGATGGAACTGATGCTTATGCCTTGGCAAAAAGAGCTGGCCGTTACAAGCAGATTAAACGCACTGAAGGCGTCTCCAGCACAGATATTGTAGGTACTATGATTTTCTCAATCTCTCTCACAGCCATGATTTTGGTTATCACGAGTTAATGGAGAAAGTTAAAGCATTCTTCATTTCTTTGTCTATGTGATTTAATATTCTGTCCGTTTAGAGCTAACTCCTTTTATAATAATTACGTGCATGTAGGAAGGATACTTTCCTCTACGAAGGATAAGAAAGCATCTGAAGATCTTAACAATACCTCGTTGAAAGGATACCATAAAGAAAGTGGATCCAAGGGCGCCCATTTATCTCAATTTCTACCGACATCCCGGAGAATTGTGCAATTCTCTAATGGAAAGGTGTGTTTCCAACATCGATTAGTTAGAACACAGTGTTTATTAGCAATGTATTACGTTTCATTTATAATCTTGTATATTACAAAAAAAAAAAAAAAAAAAAAGGGGGTCTAATTTTTATTCACATATCAGAGGAAGTTAATGAAGTGCTGTCCTTCCAAGACCGAAGCAGTTATTGCTTCACCATATTATTTGTAGTCATGGTAATTCATAAGATATAGGATATAGAATCTACCATTCACTTTTGTTTAAGTGTGTTATTTGCTGGAGTGGGCCAGCTATATTATCCTTTCGAATAGACAGCTCTCTGTTATCACAATGACAATCATATATTTTCGTTCTTTTTTTTTTTTGGGAAAAAATATTATTGTGTTTTATCTTGGTAATAACATGAACTACATCTATTTTTAGGCACCTGGACCGAATGCTCGGGTTGTGTATATTGATGGAGCATTTGATCTCTTTCATGCTGGACATGTTGAGGTACAATATCTTCCTTGTTGCTGCAAGCCTCTTATTCTCTCCCTTTTCTTTTTGTTTCATTTCTTGTCTTTTAAACTAGCTTAATACTGCACGAACCTTTTTTGTCCACTTTCTAGTCATACATTTAGATATAAAAACTTAGTGCCCAGAGAATATTCCCATGAGCATTACCTTGCAAAACTACACAATGTGTATAGTAAGGTAGCGAGTGAATTCCAATGTACATACAAATATCACTTCCAAATTGAACCTTTGTTCAGTTAGAAACTTAGAGCCTAGGTTGTTATTATGCGAAACAACTGATTGTGATAATTCCATTTTGTGGTTCTATATTGTGCTATCTTTTATTTGAATTACCCGTTTGCTTGCTCAGATCCTGAAGAATGCGAGGCAGCTTGGAGACTTTTTACTGGTTGGCATGCATGATGACCACACCGTGAGGTATTTCCATCCCTATTCCCTTGATTTGAAACCACTTTCCGGCTGGCATGCTTAACCCATGGAGTTTTTTCAACGTAAAATCACAAGTTTCGAATCATTTGATGTCTTTGTGGAAACATTTAAAGATATTGATGGTTGATCAATTCATGATGTTGCATGCAGTGAACACAGAGGGAAACACTACCCAATTATGCATTTACACGAACGAAGCCTTAGCGTGCTGGCTTGCCGCTACGTCGATGAAGTCATCATTGGTGCACCTTGGGAAGTTACAAAGGATGTGGTGAGTGCTTATGCCTTGAAATTCGTAGATTTCTGAAGTAGGTGTCATTTTAATATTCTGTTGTCTCTGAAAGAGTCTATCTGACGTTGAGCAACTGCTTTTGCATTCTTCATCAGAAAACATCAGAAAACATCAGAAAACATCATTCTTGGACTTTATTCCCGTCATTGCATGTGTTGTGTTCCCCACCGTATCTAGTTATAACTCTTGGCAAACTTGTGTCCCACTACTATTAAAACATCCATCTGTTCATTTGCTGGTTTTTTGTCCTGCATAATAATTTGGCATGGCATTTAGATTTGCCATTATTGTATGTGAGTCCTTTTAATTTCTTTTATTGCAGATAGCTACATTCAATATTTCGTTGGTTGTGCATGGGACAATTTCCGAGAGCGATTCTCCATTGACGGTAAGCAGGAGTTTTTCACTTGTTACGCTGACCATTACATTCCACTTTAGTATAGTCGGATATTAAAGAAAAGTTTATGTAATGCAGCGTGAAACTGATCCATATTCTGTTCCCAAGAGCATGGGGATTTTTCAGTTGCTTGAGAGCCCCAAAAACATAACCACTACATCAGTAGCGCAGAGGATAATTGCAAACCATGAAGCTTATACGGTATTGTTTTCCCTTAACTTTGTTTTGCATGATGAACACCTCATTACAAAATTTTGAGTGATGAGGACCTTGGAGTTTTGGGGATTATGGTTTGCTAAGTAATTTATTATCATTATCGTCTTTGATACAGAAACGCAATGCCAAGAAGGCGGAGAGCGAAAAGAAATACTATGCTGAAAAGAAATACGTCTCAGGTGACTAATCAGGGTGAGTAGGGAGTTTTCATGGTATAGCAAGTTCATCATACAGCTTTTGATTCATTGAAGAGAGAGGCATGCCATTGACGAGATAGAAAATTTCTATTGGTGTCCACAGTTTTTTCTCCCTCTGAAGGAAGAGAATGATTACACACAAGAATACACCCCTCATCATACTTGGATGTACCATGTTTTTCTTTTTTTCTTTCATTTTTTCTTTTTTTTGTAACATTTGATGTAACTCTTTAGGCCTTAGAAAAGACGCAACTCCCAATAATGTCACCCTAATTCATGTTTTGTAATGAGATTATGGTAGTGTTTTTTACTCCTCTTTTTATGGCATTGGCATTCATCTCCATAGCATTCTTTCATCATAAAGTTTTGTTGCAAGGAGAGTGGTTAATCCGAGATTTTTCATTTATTTCTCTTTCTTTTAAGTTGATCAGTTGGGCATATATCAACAAAAAAAAAAAAAAAAAAAAAAAAAAAAAAAAAAAAAAACAACCCAACCCAGAAAGAGTATATCATAAAACAAAAATCAATCTTTTGAGAAGGAGATTTCTACATTGCTATGAGACTACATATTAACAATCCATAAGCTGAATTTCCATCTTGAAGGACACTACAATTACAAACATCCTATCATCGTGCCAAAGGCCATCCGGAACATGAGAGAGAAAAAGGGGTCCTCTTAACGTAACCCCAAATACCCTACAACATACTCGGAAAAATGGGAGGTAATACATTAATTAATACGAGTGATTAGCAGCATTCAGTTTTGTGGGTCTCACTGGAACCAAGTGATGGGTGTGGAAGTGTTGTGGGGTGGCTGTGGCACCATGCAGTGCTGTTGCTGCCACTGCGGTAAGCCTTCGCCAGCTGCCCCCATACTTGCGATCCCGCCATACCCATCACTAGATTGTCCGAATTGCGATGTGTTCTCATGGGTATCCTCAATCGCCATTGTATCCTCAATCTCCATTGTATCGTCGGCTTCCATGGCTAACTCGGATGGCTCGGTTGTCGGAATCTCTATTCCCGAGGTGGTAGGAGGAGTAATCAGATGGGGTGGTGGTGCCCACGGAACAACAGCTAGGCATTCCTTATTGCTGCTGCTAACAGCTTTGTCTTCATCAATGCCAATGGTGGCCCTCTTCTGTTGCTGTTGGGTGGTTGCGCGGATAAATTGATCTGCCAAATCATCATCACCCTTTGCTTATTAGAATCTAATCCCATATTTGGATAATAATAGGGATGCCAAATAAAATACTAAATTTGTGAGATAACAAGTGAATCGTCATTATCAAATTTACAAAACTAACAACTCATCATCACCATCACCATCACCATCACCATCACCATCATCATATCAGGTGGATTCCCTGATATTGTCCCCTTCTAACATAGTGAAAAGAAAAAAAAAATCTCTATAATATGAATAACAATAATGAGGAAAAACTGAACTGAATTACAAAAGTGAATCCTTATTCACAAGCTGATAAATCCCAACGGCTAATCCATCTAGGTATGGCAATTCAAGTAAAGATTATATATAAATAATAAAATGATATTTCTGAAAACATAACAAATAAATCCTAGCAGAAAATAGTCATATTTTCACCAATATACCAACTAAATAAAGTCCTGATTTTTCTGATACAACAAGAAATGAAGCACTTTGTTTTTAACAAGCAGAAACAAAGTTCAAAATTTAAGCCAAAGAAATACCAGTACTAAGACAAGGAGAGAAGATCAATGAAAAAGCTTTACCCTTGAAGCCAGAGATCAAATCAGAATCAACAGAGACCGATAAATTAGAAGATGAGCTATTAAAAAATGGGGAATTCAACGGCTTGAACAGGACGATCGCTTTGTCATTGACAGTGTCCAGTTCCGATTCCTCCATGAAAGCAGGAGCAGCAGAACAAGAGAACTCCGGCGACTCGTCCTCCTCCTCCATTATCGGCGGCAGTTCCACATCCTGATTACCCAATCAATTCGACACAAAATCAACAACTTCCGTAAGAAAATCTCTAGCGCTTAATCAATTCAACACAAAAAGTGGCACAAAAATTTAGCAATTTTAGTACGAAATCTCCGGACTCCAAAAAAGTTGCAAGCTTTGGTGAGAAATTAGCAGAAATTAGAAGTTTGCATAAGGGAAATTCTAGGGTTTATAGAAGGAGGAGGAATTACCAAGCGGCGAATCTTTCTGGCGGGAGAGGAGAGAGAGAAGTCGGAGAAGTCGTTGTGGAGGTCGTCCAAGTCCAAGTCGGGGTCTTTCCTCTTCATCATCTTGTTCCCTCTCATCCCCATTCCCATAAACCCTACCATTCTCCAATAATTAATTCCCAAATGTTGGGTTGTCTCTTTCTTTGCAGATCACCAAATCCCTAAATTTCAGAGAGATAAAGTGCAAAACGACGACGTACGACGGACAAAGATGGACTGGTTATGGATTGTGAGTGACAAAGAAACAAAGATTGGTGTGGGGTTTTAAATAAAGAAGCATTTTGGGGGAAAACCTTCGAAGAATAATAAGAAGAAAGAAGGAAGAGAAAAGCAGAGACTTTTCTGGACGACTAGCTCTAGACTTCTCCAGAAGCCAAAATTGTCATTTTCTTTACCTTTCATTCGTTGGGGACTTCTTTTTTTTTTTTTTTTTTATGGTGGATGGGGTGGGTTTTTTTACTTCACTGATTACTTCCTAAACTTTAACTTTTAAACCATTTTAATCGATTAACATTAAAAATTTATTGAGGATTTCTGAAATTTCATGGAGATAATTCGTTTCAATTATATAATAAATGAGATTGTTACATAAGTAATTACATAAAAGGTAAAATGTTTTTTTTTTAGTTTTTAAAACATTCCTTAAAAATATAACATTATGAATTTAATATAACTATTTCTGTAAAAATTACCATTACTATGAAATTAGAGTAATTTTGTCAATTTTAGTGTAGAGAGTAAAACTGTTATTTACTTAACAATTGAGAAGTAATCTGCAAGTAAAAAATGTGGAGATGAATATGACATAGTGTTCATAATATGAAAACTTACCATACCAATTATTATTCTATTTGTATTTAGAGGGAAAAATTAGTATTATATTATTGTTTGGTAAGGAGATTTAGGATTAATTTCAGCACATCAAATGCTCATGAGATATAATTATGGCGAATTATATTTACCAAAAAACAGTATGGCGTCTTATTATACAATAATTCTTAACAAATAATTAATATCCAAATAATCTTGACAAATACATCTTAAAAGTGCATAGATCAAAATTTTTACCTTTTACTCTTAATTCATAATATTTTTAGTCAAATAATTACACTAATAAAAAGGTTTTTATCAAGAATAAAGAGTAAAAGTCCAGACTCATACACTCTTAGGATAAATTTTCTATTTTTTTAATATCCTGAATAAATTTTCCCTAATTATACCCATAAGGCATCTTTTCATAATTTTTTTTTTAGAAATGAAAAAGTGAAAAGAGTACTACATAAATAAGCACGTCGCTTACTTTTTAACTATTAAATTTATATCAAATTTTATTTATTATGTATATTTTTTTAATATAATATTATTTTAATTAAATTTAACGATTAAAAATTAAGAATATCAATAAAATAAATTACCGAACAAACTCTCCGTGTCTAAAAATATAGGGGAAAATGACTTTTGGAAAGAAGCTCCAATCACATTCTTTGCTTATGTATTTTCCCGTGTTCCCAGCCCACTGTTACTGATGCCAGTTGCCATTTTCCTACCTATTCTCTCCCCCACGTTTTCTAAAAACAAAAAATTCCATCTATATTCTCCTTTTTGCCCCTTTTCGCTATAAGACAAAAAAGAGAGCGCCTTTTTTCGTTGCTTCATTCATAAGCACACTCAGAATTTACTCGGGGGGAGAGAGAGAGAGAGATAGTTGTTTATTATTCAACAAATTACAAAATGAAGTAATTGGATAAACTCTGATACGTATACGTATACTTATACTATATTATACGAATGTATAAATTACGCATGTATATTTTATTTGAAACGCGCCTATATCACCTCTCATAGCATAGCGGTTACATAGTTGCACACGAAGAAAGTAATTACATTAAACGTAATTGACATTCTTTACTTTTCCTGCTCTCCTCTACACAGTTCCACTTAATGAAGTTTACTTTTTATACTCCACACACTTGGTTACTTTTTTATACAAGGATTTGAACGTAATATGAATATATGCTCAGGAGGAGACCTCCACATATGGGGTGAGTAACAGAATGATGGAAGAGTAACTAAGCATGGGGTACAGATTGGCGTCGAGGAAGTGCGCATACTGTTTCACAACAATCTCTCTTTCCGGGACATCAGGTGAGAGGAAGTCGTATGGTGCAGGCTTGCCGGTATCGACCAATGGCTCCCATCTGTATCCGGGCCGCTCCGGCAGTGAAATGGTAACTGGGAGATGGCTGGCATTGAAGGCAACGTAGATTTCTCCCTTGATCGAGTCTTTCTGTATTCATGTTTGTACCCAACGCACAATCAAGCTCCATTCAAGGATATAAAGTAACCAGAAAAATGCTAACAAAAGACTCTGTTAGACTTTTTCTTTATTTTGAATTTTTTATATTAAGACTCTTTATTATCTCTTATAGTTAACATTAGTGATTAGACTTTTTATTAGACTCTTAGTTAGACAATATTTATTAGGCAAGTCTTCAAGGCTTGTAATTTCAAGTGGCCTACTTTAGAAAAGTTTAGAACGTTCAAGTCATCTTTTAAAATGTTATTCTGCTATCCATCTTAGCTTTTTGCCGCGTCATTCCAACCAGTCCGTTCACCTCACACATTTGTAAAGATATATGCTCAATGCATAGCCTTGAAATTTTTTCAATTTATGTTTACCTTAATGCACTTTCCTTTCTTAAAGGGAAAATATTCCATTTGGTTTAGCAAGCTAAATTTCATGATGAACTATAGAATTATGATCGTGTTAAGAAAATTGATGCTATCATTAAGAATGTGACATGGAAGGTGAAACAAGAGAACAAACCAGACTGAAGGCGACAAAACGGCTTGTCTTAGACCAGTCTGGCGTCTCAGGAGCATGGCCATGCCACTGCAGCCTCTCCGCTGTTGGAAAGTCTTTTAAGCCAAGTGACTCACATTCCCTGCAAGATTGTAAACTCGTGTGAGGTTCAAAAAGGTCAACCAGAAAGCAAAATACAAGAGTGCAGTGCAGCACGTAATCTAGAGAATTGATACCGGCGGAATTTGGTCACGAGGCAGCAAAATCTAAAGAAATCTGACGAGGAATCTTCCTTCTTATCCCAGCGGAAGTAGTTGATCTGCAGCCCGGTAACAGTCAGAATTGACAATTGGGTCTGATTAATTGTAGAGAAACAGTAGAGTCTAGGGAATCACGTAGTTATCATGGCAGTATGTATTGTTGTTTCCTCCTTTTGTGTGACCATATTCATCACCCATATATATCATTGGAACACCCTGACCACCACCCAAAAAAGAAAAAGTTAGTAGAGAAATATTCACCCATAGCTTAACACGTGGACTTATCTTCCCTTCCCCGTTACTGAAAGATATGCCAGTGGATTTGCAGCAAAGAGATTAAATTCTTTAATTTTATTTGAATTTTAATACAAATATCTGTTGGAAAATAAAACGTCATGCGTTGTAGTGGGAACTTAAAGTAAGGTCACCTCAAGAAATCACAAAAATAAAACACCAACTAGTAGTATTTTGTTATCAGTTAATTTAGAGGTGCAGAAGACATTTCAGTCCAACTGCGAGCAGAAAATGAACAAGAATTGGACCTTACTTGGGAAACCATGAGGCAGAGGAAAAAATTCTTCATTTGTCGTTTCCTCAATTTCTTCACGGAAATGCTTACAAACTTTCCCTCCTGTATTTTAAAATCCAACTTATAAGCCTAAGGAAAAAAAAAATCTTATATATCATAATCCAATAATCGTAAATCTAATTAACATGTGTGACAATTGCAGGTCTTTATACTATTCACATAAATAAATAGATTAACGGCATGAAAGCTGAAGATTGCTCTTTAGTTCCCGGGAGTCTTTATACCAACCTATGCGGAAATACGGAAATATCTTAGCAAATTAATTTTTTTTTTTTTAAAAAAACCTGTGGAAATAACTATGCACCCAAGTCCCAACTTTACACACATGTACCTGTCCACAGTTCCAGCTATTATTATGATTCTCTCCGTCCTTGTTGTCTTCTCCATTTGCCAAGTTATGTTTGTTGTTATAGGCAACCAAATCCGCCAAAGTAAATCCATCATGGGCACATACAAAATTGATACTATGCCATGGTTTCCTTCCTCCTTCCTGCTCCAAAGATTTAAGAAGGTTTTAGCCACAAAAGAGAGAGTGTGTGAATAAAATACTTTTTGATAAAGAAAAAAGGTGTGTATGTGTGGTGGGTGGGGGGGTTTGGGGTGGGCTGTTTGGCGCAATCCGGAAAATTACCTGATATAGATTGGGGCTCCCACAAAGGCGTTCAGCTAACGCCCCAGAAAAACCATCTGTACCTTTTATAAACTGCCGCACTGTGTCTCGATACTGTAAAATTATCGTAAATCATATATGGTAAGTGGTAACACAGTACATAGGATCAAACGTCATATATGAAAGTTCACTGTTGAGAATTTGATACCCCTCATTTAAAACATTGCATGTTTTATATTACGATTACCTTATTTTTCTATTATCACTTAAACTAAACTGACCTTCCCATTCCACTCTGACCAAATACCCCAGTGAGGAAACGAACCGACTTGGTACAGGCCTCCCGCATCCCATGCTTCAGCTATAAGCTATTTGAAAGAGACAGAGAAAGCCCATTTAGTAACAACTAATACCAATGATAGCAGAACAATGGACTGAAACCGATGAAAAAATTTCACTACAACAAGCCAAAGTAAGAAAGTCCATCTAGTAATAACAAAGATGACAAAATTTTATCACTACAAGCCAAACACTAAATCATATATATATTGAAGAATAAATTAGAATCCAAAGTAAGAACCTTCACTCCACAGAGTATCGGATCGTTACTCATCATATCTATCAATGGAGGGCTGCTAAGAGGGGTGCCAGTCGTCAGCAAGGCACCTTCAATTGGACTTCCATATATATTAACAGCATCATAAAGACTGTATTCAAGTTATTTCAAAAAAAAGGTGAATAGGACTGAAATAGAAATCAATAATGGTTTGCATAATTTGAGATGAAATATTATTTGGCAGATGACCTGCTACCCCTGGTCAAGATAGAAGCAAGATCAAAGCGAAACCCGTCGACATGCATTTCTGTTACCCAATATCTGTAGCACAGAAGGGATACAGAGGCCTTCAGCCCTATAGAATAACTAAAAAATGATCGTCTAACCAAACCATATTTAATTGCAGAAACTAAGCTTAAACAGGAAATACGAGCAAAAAACTAGGAAGTAGCACTAGGATTAAGATGAGGAATTCACACATAGAGAGAGAGAGAGAGAGAGAGAGAGAGAGAGAGAGAGAGAAGAAAATAGATACTTGCAAGAATATATGTACCTTAAGCAGTCCACTATGAATTGGCGCACAACAGGATGGTTGCAATTGAAGGTGTTACCACATCCTGAGTAATTATAGAACTCTCCCTAAGGGACATTAATAACTCAAGGAGTAAATACCATATAAATGAATTAGCCTCCAGTCTTGTCATGGTCATAAACCCAGCATCAAGGGATTCAGTAATTTGAAAGATGTGCATGAACCATACATTTTTTTTCTCTTTGCTCAGGAAACATGAACGATACTCAGTATAAGAATCATGTGATTTTGTCCATGAAAAGAGTCTATAGGTCAAACCCACGTCTTCAATGAAAGAACCAAGAAAGAGTACAGATTGTCCATATTTTTCAATTGAAAGAATGTATACAACTTGAAACAAAATTCAAATTATACCTTAGGTGCGAGCATGTAATAGACACTATTGTCTGCGCCTCTAAAGGATAAAATGGGGCCATTTTCATTGCCTTCAGCTGTGTGATTGAAAACAACATCCATGATCACCTGCATGTGAGTAGAAGGTGAAAACTCTTAGAAAAGGAAAAACAAAAAAAAAAATGATGAAGAGGCAGAAGAAGATAAACACTATGCCATACTAGTAGTTCTTACTCACCTCAATTCCTCGCTTATGTGCTTCTCTAATAAGAAGCTTGAGTTCATTCACTGCATCATGGCCGCAATTATGTGTTCCCGCAGACGAATATCTTAGCATTGGTGAAAAGTAATTGACAGTCGAATATCCCCAAAAGTTTACCCTAACCACAAAAATTTACATATGTGACTGAAGATATCTTTTATCTTTTTGCCATATTCAGGTCAAATAGTGTTATGCATAAGAGCATTAGTGATAATGCAACAAAATGCTGCATAAAGAACCCATCATTTAGTCAGTACTTTGAAAACAAGAGAATGAGAATGTCATCAAATTAATGGTTTTTGCCAACATCACGACAGTTTAGAAATTTAGTTTTTCCTTAAGTGGAAAAAAAAAACACTTCTAAGCATTTTGATTTTGTCTTAATTTGATCTAGAATTGCTTATTGCTACACATGTTGCATAAATGGACCAAAAATGATGATAGTGAATAGGATCCAGCTTGCACCCACTAAATACATTGTAGATAGAAGGTAACATGTCTTACTTATAATCACCTATGGCAGAATTGTAGCTGTAGTACTCAAGCTCATTGAACTCATGACATGGCATTAACTCTATACAGTTAACCCCAAGTTCCTACAAAAAAGAGAATCTAATAAGAATATGAAGAAATTATCACTCATACCTCTTATCATGAATAATTAGAATTGTTAAGTGATTCTTTCCCACAGCTATTTTACGTGGCTTTTCCTAGGCTTTGAGTTCTACTATGTAACTAGTGATCAGCATAATGAGATGCTTGCATATATTTCAAAGCATTGCATTTAAGTTTCAAATTCCCTAGAAATACTTGCAAATTTGTTATAGAGAGTCGATGAACTATACCTGTAAGTGATGAAGCTTCTCCACAACACCAAGATATGTACCAGGGAATTCAGTCCCGCTAGATTCATGCCTTGTAAACCCCCGTACATGCATTTCATATACAATTAGATCTTCTTGAGGATATTTAAGAGGTAAGTCTCCTTCCCAGTCAAACTGAAATCAAAGGGAAGTGCCCAAAAATGAACAGAATATTCAAACAATGTTCAGAACAATAACATGAGACTAAAAAAATTGCCATCAGTATGCCAATAACCTCTCATTCTGAAAATGCAAAACCAGAAAGACCTACAGACATTTTGAAGAATCTTATATTACAAATTGACCCCGACCAAATTTGAGAGTCGACAAACATCTGCGGGTGATATGATGAGAAATCTTCACTATCAAAGCAAGGAGATTGCAAAAGAGTATTTAACTATTTCTCACAAAAACCAACACCAAATACATCCAAAGAGATTACTCTCAATGCATGAAGCAAGAGAGAAGATCAAAATCTCAGTTTTCTAGGGCTGCTGCAAATGGTTGCAAGGAAATCTATTTATAGGATGAATGCAGGCACAATGAACAACAAGCTGCAAGTTGCGTGCTGCAAGCGTAGCTAACTATTGACCAAACTCTGAGTAGCTTTTCAGGCGTAGCTCTAAGCTTTTTCTCATAAAGCTTTACTAAAATTTTGTGACCCACATTTCAACACAACGTACAGATATTTTCAACAATTACATACAGATATTTTGAAAAATCTTATAATACAAATTTGGCCGCCTTGATCAAAGTTGTTAGTCGAATTCATAGTCCAACATGGATGTGAATTTACAGAACAAATAATAGTGAAAATTACTGGAGATAGTGATACTAATGGATTGAGTTTCAAAAACAAGACAAGACAAAATAAGAAACTAAAACTTGGATTCTAGAATGGAAAATGAAAACTAGAAAACATCTTCCAGACTTAAAAGTAGTACCTCATTATCAAAGAAAGGAACCGCGCATGCCATTTGGGGCCAACAATTACCATCTGGACCTAAAGTTCCGTATTCTCCTCTACATATAACTGCCTAGAGAAATCAAAGTGAACCACAAGTCCATTACACTTCAAAATCTGGAACCACATTAACCAAACTTGTGGATAAGTTAAGAACATCTGCCATTTACCTATACATAATAAGCAAATAATATTCTTTTTTCCATATAACAAAAACAACAGGAAAATCCAAACCGACATAAAATGGAAATATGGCTCATCTCATCTAAAGGTCACCAACCTTTCCATAGGGGTCCAACACAATCCGAGAAGGATCATAGTAGTGCCCTTCTTCAGGAGAAAACTTCCCATCAAATTTATAGCCGTAAAGCATGTCTTTAAAATCCACTTTGACGAAAACATGCCAAACACTTCCAGTCTGGTTAATCACGGGATCAAGGGATATCTCCTCAGTCACTCTATTCTGCATCAGATAAATGGAAGTCAGGGACACCCCACTCAATTGTTTTTCCTACTTTGTTAGTTGCATGTCAAATTTTGTTTATTTGATAGTTGCTTGCTTGTATTTTTTATGTTTTCCAAAATTTTATTCTATAACCACTTGAACTCCAAATACTAATTATACCCCACTCGGGCCACTTCAAACTTAAAAACCGATAATTAACCAAACCAATTCTGAAGTTTATGAACTCATTTGGACTAAACTCTACTAAATTCAATTAAACTAATCTTAAACTTGGTCCAATGGAGAAAAATAAATCTATAATCTAAAATGAGAAAATGCAACGTATTGCTTATTAAAGAAAAATATAATGCAATTTATAAAAAACATTATATATATATATAACAATATTTTTTATGTATTGAATTTAGTCGAAATTTATCTTAATAAAGTGCCCCTACTAGAAAATTTCCTCTAGCTCCGCACTGAATTGGCAATGCCTAATCATTCAAGCACCTCAAAATCTAATAAAACCTAGAATGGAAAACAATAACAGAATTTTACCAGCTCCGTAAACCCTAAATCACTGCATAATTCCTTAATTGTTCCTCCTGCTGCCCAAAAAAAGAAAAAAAAAAAAAAAAGAAGCAAAAAGCAAGAAAAAAAACTTACCTGCTCCAAATCGGAGAGACTCATCAAACAAAGAGTAGCCTTAACCGCATTTCCAGCGAAGACGGCGAAATTGACACCGCCGTCGCGAAGCGTGGCCCCGAGCGGTACCGGAGAGCCGCGCGAGACCTGGAAGCGGCTCAATTGTGGCCCGCCGTCAACCACCGCCACCTCCGCGGATCCGCCGCCTCTCCCCGCCTTGACGATCAATTCCGATCGGTTCGGATGTACTTGACGAGTAAATCTGTTCCGAACGCCGGCGATGGCGGAGAGAGAAGGAAGATGCTTCCGATGAAGTCTGGGAGCATTATAGAAGAAAGAGGAGGCAGAAACTGTGAGATAGTGAGACTCCATGGATGAGGTTTTTGATCAAGTAAAGAAGAAGAAGAAGAAAGGAATCGCCATTAGAGATAGAAATGCAGAGAGTGAGAGCAGCAGATTCGGAGTGGGAGTGATGACGAGGAGGAGAAGCACGTGATGGAAACTGTGAGAGATTTTTGTTTCTTTGGCGCCATCTCATCTGATGGGGCCCGCTGATAGGGCCCACATACCGAGTCTACGCGCTAATATTTTAGGCTACTATAGGGGACCCACCTCTTTTCTCATCTTTTCTTTTAATTTTTTTTCTTTTTTTTTATTAATTACAAAGATTTCTTCCAAATTGTAACATTTTAAACCGTTTAGTTCGCCGATTCGAGTTTTTAATTTGAGTTGAGATGTGATTTTATATGAAAATTTTTTATTTTAATAAAAAAATTAAATGTAATTATTTTTGATAGTCTTTTATTGTAACAAAACTTAAATTTTAAATTCTAATCTGTAAAATAAACGGGACCATTATTTCTCAATCTTTAAAATATAACAACCGTTTTTCGAATAATAAAACATTAACAAAAAAATTTCTTCCGTAAAGATTTCAAATAATAAAAAGTTAACAAAAAAATTCCTCGGTAAAGATTTCTAATAAAAATTACACGTGTGACATAAATGATAGTTGTTACTTGTTATTGATAAATTAGTGCACAATTACTATCACATTTTAAATTTTGTATTCTAATTTTCTTATAATGTAATAAAATATTAAAAAAACAATGCTTCAAAACAAAAACAAAAGCTTCATACTATTTCAAACTTAAATTCAATTAATAGTGAATTTTTCATGATTAAAAATTTAAATTTGAATTAGTTTTGAATTCAAATCAAAATTTAAACCTAACATTTACTAAAATGCCCTTAAATTATGTACTACAAACCAATTATCTATCAATTTCCATTATAAATTTTTGCTAACATTTCAATGTTCGATGGACTAAATGTTACGCTTTAGAAATCGATGAGCAAAGTGTTACAAGGACTGTTGTTCAAGAAAATTTTTTGTAATCTTTTTTTTTATTGCTACAGACGATTTGATTATGTTTTCATCAATGGTTATCACTATATATATATATGTAAATTTGATAACGTGACGTGATAATAATATAATCTCATTAATTGTCTAATTTATTACAACTGTTGAATTAATATATTATGATTAAAATAAAAATATCCATTAATTAATAAATATTAAAATAACTATTAAAATCACACCGGAAACTTTATGATGAGGTATGAGTGTTTCTCTACATCTATATTACAAAACTTTTATATATGATAGATATAGAGAAAGGTTTGATTTGGACTAACCTAAAACTTTATATATGAATATGTAGAGAGAGGGGTTTGATAGTTGGATTTGGTATTTTAAATGGGTTTTCTAAAATCTACATTCAATTCAATCATTAATTGGTTATTTGTGAGAAAAAAAAAAGGCGCATTTAATTGGATTAGACCGACTGATTGAATCCCATAAACACCGTTATTTGTTTTCTATGGGAATAATATGCATTAGTTTGATGTTGTATTTGACATGATATTGCAACACTTCACATAGAGACATCTTTTACGAGCCAATTCACGCGTTACCATAAATGAAATACCAACAACGATTGCTTTGTGATATTGCACACTTTTCTCAAGTTTGGAAAGATCCGACTTTTGCATAGCTGATACCGTTTTCCCCAATAAAATATCGAAAAGATGATAAGGTGACAACTAAGACAGCATTGAAGAAGCAATAGCTCAACAACAACAAACTAACAACATTTTTAGCGAAAAAAAAAAAAAGAGAGAAAACAACCTGTTTTAATAAGAAGACAACAATCACTTTCCATTTATAGCTCCATCAATCCACACATCCTCCTTAGTTGTTCTTAATTTTATATTTCCCATATTTTCTTTTCCTCTTCCTCATTTGCGCATGATAAATATTATACCAATTACTATACCACATATTTCAAAACACATTATTACATTGAAATCATATCATAATTCAACCCCAATTTGTTTCATAAGTTTAAATTACTATTCAAATATTTTCTCTCATAAAATTTAAATTTTTGCTCAAACTTTTATATTCAAACCTATAAACCAAACGTGCTAATAACATCGTAGTATATAAATTTTTTTTAATCCTTTGTATATATATACTAGTTGGATTATGCGTGCTATGCACGTGGGGAAGTAATCCGTATGTCAAAAAGGTAAAAAAAAAAAATGTAGGAAAAGGTCTAAAATGAAAAAATAAATGGTCTTAGGCAAAAATAAAAAGAAAAATGGTTAAAAACGACCGAAATGAACTCAAATGTTAGAAAAAGACTAAAATGAATAAATAAATAAATTTTATGATAAATGGACCAAAAGAGATCACAACGGAAAAAATAAAGTTTCAGGGCGAAAATTAAAAAATGGGTAAAAAAGGTCTAAGATAAAGAAATAAATAAGCCTTGAGGTAAAAGGGGAAAAAAATAAAAATAAAATAAAATTTATGGACAAAAATTTTAAAAATGATTAAAATAAATAAATAAATAAATTTTAAGACAAAAACGAATCAAAATGAAAAAGTATAAAGTTTTTGGACAAAATAAAAAAAGGTAAAAAGTTACCAAAATAAAGAAATAAATAGTTTTAGGATAAATAGAGAGTATAAAAAATAAAAGGATGAACTTGAGAAAAAAAAAAAAAAAAAAAAGAGGGGGAGGATTCCGTACAACGAGTTGAGATTTGTATTGGGTAAAAAAATAATCAAAATGTAGAAATAAATAAGATTTAAAGTAAATAAAAAGTTAGAAAAAATTGAAGGATGAACTGGAAAAAGAAAAAAGAGGGAGAAGATACCGTACAATGGATTGAGATTTATATTATTATTATAGATTATAGATTATAAATATATAAAAAAAAGCAGGTTTTTTATCCTAAAGATTCTGTTTTTTTTTTAATCCTAATTTTCTGGGTTAATGCTCCACGCTCATATGAAGTATTTAACCTCAGAAAGTGTTGATATAAATAATTTAGAAACCAATAACCATTGTTTCACTTTAATCTCAATTACTCAAAGAACGGCATCCTCGACTCATTATTTCCATCAATAATGGAAGCAGGTGTGTCCTCATCTATGTAAAACATTTACGCTTTTATTTCCATAAAAAAAAACAATTTTATTTTTATATATCTCGAACCCAAATAAATAAAAGAAACTCTAACCAAAATATTATTCTTTTTATTTAATGCACCATTAAACATGGCTCCTTCAAATTCAACCCTCACCTCACCCTACATCATGACATTTAAGAAAAAAATAATAAATTCTATTTTTTTTTTCTTATATTCTTATTGGAGAGTTTCTCTGATATGCTTGATTTCGCTCCTTCAAATTCAACCCTCACCTCACCCTACATCATGACATTTAAGAAAAAAATAATAAATTCTATTTTTTTTTCTTATATTCTTATTGGAGAGTTTCTCTGATATGCTTGATTTATTAATAGTATCAATTTTAGACTGTTGAATCAGATTAAAATCATATGACATAAACATCATTCTTTATGTCATTATAAAAAAAAAAAGCAATGAAAGAAAACATAATTGTTTACATTCGATATGAACAAATTAATAAGAATATAAAAAGGTATTAGAAAAAGTTAATTATTGCCTTATCTGTTGTTACTTGAAAACAGACATGATATCTAACATCGTGGAATCCCCAAATTATTCTGTTAGAACTTGTCCTCCTAGTAATCAAACTTAGAAAGAGAGGTTCAAAAGAAAATATTTGTTGATTGTGTTGTTAAAACTTATAGGGTCTAAACGAAAAACATATCAAAATTAGTCTTTGCCAGAATTAGAATGTGTTCATTAAACAAAATAAATTTATATTTCCAGTTTATAACACAAGAGTTCTGCCTTTGAAAAGAAAAATTAAAGAAACAAGAGACACCATATATGGTTTATGATGTAAAGTTTCTTCCATTATCTTAGCTAGAGGTTTTTCCTTTTTATATATAAGCATCAAATATTGGTGAAAGTGTAGAATTTCGTGATGTGAAAATTATCTTAATATTAATTTTTGAAGGATGAAAAATATCTTATTGGTAGGACATACTTCTGTGTGATTGATTTTCTATTACTCCAAGATAAATCGCTAATATGCCCTGTAATACTATAATATATGGCTTACGAGTTACTGCTTTGTAATTTGGTTAATTGGAAAGCATTTTATGCATCTTTTTTATTTTTTATTTTGTTGCAAGCCATTTTACCTCTGGAAAACTCTTTTTTGTCCCTTCTTGGACGGGATTTTTTATGATATTTGAATGTTTTTTCTACTATTAATGTCATTATTTTAGCGTTGAAGTTGTGATCTTATGATATTTTCTTACGAACTATGATACTTTATTAATTGTTATTATTTTAAAAGAGTTTTATTAATAAATAATATCTATAACAGGTTATAAATTTTAATATATGTATAAAATGTATTGAAATCTATAATTTCGTGTCAATTTCAGTTTAACAAGTTCGTGTAGTATTTTGAATTCGTGAGTCAATTTTATGTCGCGTGTCACTTTTGGTTTGTATTGTGTGAACCCGTAACTTAATCGTGTCGTATTCGTGTCGGGTGTTTTATATTTGTTCGTGTCGCGAGTTGTGTATAAGTTGCATTAAAAAAAATTAACACGGTATAAACACGACGCACAATATAAATTGACAACTCAATGAGAAATATGTTAATTTGTGAAATTTTATGTTAAAATTTATATATAACAAATTTATGAATTTTGAAGGAAAAACTTTATAACAGTGCTTTTTAAGGCTTTTTAATTCACTAATTTACTAATTTAAGTTTATGTAAGAATTTTTTATTGTATTAAAAAATTAAATGTGATTATTTTTTAAAATTTTTAATTATAATAAAATTTGAATTTAAAATTTAAATCTCAATTAACGGGCTAAATAGTATTTACGCTTATTTATCTGTTATATCCGACACCTTTTCACACCATCAAAGGTCACTCTTCAATCACAGCGACCTTACCCCATGGTGGTCCCTACATTAGACAACTTGTGGCGGGACCCACCATCACCGTCATCCTTTTTCACTGATGTATCAACTCTAGATTACAACCGTCGATCACATCAACACTTGAGATCCCCATACCCTCTTCTTATTATTATTTTTTATTTTGTAATATTAAATGATAAACATCAGCCAATTACCATACGCAAATGTTCCCTTCAAACCCACTTTGCAGCTTTTTTGTTGTGTACTGCCTTTATACCACACAGATGCACATGGCTACGTCCCATTGGATTTTGTGACGTTTTCTATTATTTTTATCGGGTTTAATAAAACATCTAATTAAAATTATATTAAATTTAAAAAATATATAAAATAAATAATTTTTAATTTAAATTTAATTGTTAAAAAATAAAAAAAATTTAAAAATATATTTTCATGACCCAGAGAAACAAAGTAATTTTATCCTAATTTTAATAGGAAATCTTGTGACATAATTACGCGTCTTAAAACTTCCTTAAACAACAAGCACTCGACTGCACCGTAAGAAAACATGTAAACTTTATTAAAAATTGACGATTAAAGAGTACACGGTACCATTATAGACCTCGTTCATTTCACCGATTCGAGTTTTTAATTTTAAGTTTTTACAGTAAAAAATTTTTAGAAAATATCACATCTAATTTTTTCTACTACAGTAAAAAATTCTCATAAAATATCACATCTCAACTCAAATTAAAAATTTAAATCCGCGAAGTGAAATAGTCTATCAAATATTCGTTGTACAAATATAAAATAAGATAGGGCATGTTCGGCAACTATATATTTTTGAGTGAAAAACTCAAAAAAAGCAACTCGAGTTACAACTTTATTCGAGTTCATGTTCTTTTAAGTTTGAACTCGAGTTTAAACTCGAGTTTGAACTCGAGTTTGGGACTAAAACTCGAGTTCAAGTTTCCCCTTCAACTCGAGTTCAGAAACTCGAATTCAAGTTAATGAACAGTATTTTTTCTATTTTTAAAAATACTATAACTTTTTCGTTTTAATTCTGATTGAGATGATTTTTTTTCTATACGTTGACAACGAAAAGACGAATAAAACTATACCCATATACCCTATTAAGATTTTTCATCAGCATTAAGTTTTTATTAAAATACTATCTAAATATAAATTTCAGTTTTGACTTACTCAAACACAAACTCAAAAATATTCTTATCTCAAATCACAACTTAAATGTACACAATTAAACGTAAACTCAAGTTACAACTTCAACTCAAGTTATAACTCAAACTCAACTCAAAAACTTAACTCAAAAATATTTACAAAAAACAAGCCCATAATTTTTGAACCTTTATTCTCATACAAAGTAAACTCTCGATGTGATATTTTGCCGCGTTCAACTCACCAAGACGATTTCTTTCCATATTCTCGATATATTACACTATAATTAAGGGGAGTTACCGGGGAAAAAAAAAAAAAAAAAACATCAAATTCTTTGTCCGTACGTAAAGATTAAAAGAAAGAACGGTAGAATTAAGGCAAAAATAATAATTAATAATTAATAATAGTCAGCTGTGGACCCACATATCCCATGCTTCCAACCGAATTCTCCAGTTGCCTTTAATCCAAATGGACGACAACACCCGCATGCTTTTATCAAATTTACTAATCCTGCCATTCACCATTCCACATAACGACAAAAACAGAGAGAAAAATATAGCTCAACAATTCATCGTAAATGAACACCAATACACCATGAAATAAGAATAATATATCGTAAACCACAACAATGTTTTCATTTCCAACCAAACGAAGAAGGAAAAAAAAAAAGAAAGAAGACAAACAACACGAAATAATAAAAATCAAGAAAAAAAGATAATTATCAGAGAGAAATTTTAATCTTCGATTAACAATCTTTTCCTCTCTATCTCTCTCTCTCTTAATTAATTTTTTTTCTAGAAGTCTCTAATCAATCTCCGAGAGAGAGATCGGAGGGGGATCCAATCGCGATCCCGGTGAATTCATCGCTCATCTTCTAGAGTTCTTCTCCAATTCCTTTTTGAGAAATTCCTGGTTTCTGAACTTTTCTTTTTTGATTTTCATTTCTACAAATCGATCGATCGATCAAACCCTGACGATCTTCGCAGCCTTGACGACCGGATTTTCCCTCGCGATGGCCTCGCGGCCGACGGATTTATAGTCGTAGCTGCAATCGTGGCGGTCCGAATACCGGTGCTCGGCGCAGAAGAGCTCGCCGCACCGGCACCGGAACCCGGTTAACCCGACCTTCCTCCGACATCCTGAGCACCGATTCACCACGCGCTTCGCCGGAACCGCCTCATCCTCCTCCGATCTTGCGCTGTCAGCCGTCGTCTTGCGGCTATTCTCCGCCGGACTAGCGGATCGCCGATCCGTCGGTCGAGACGAGCTGGAGATCGCTGAGGAGGAGCTCTTCTCGCCGGAGAACTTCAAATTTGCGGTGGTTGAGGTCGACGCCGCCGCCGTCGTTGTCGTGGCGTTGAAGCAGTTCTGGCACATGTTGTTCGTCGCAGGATTCCCGATGACGCCGCAGTTGTTGACGCAGAGAGTTATCTTCTCTGGAACCTTGAACTCCGTCTCCTCCTTCTCTGTCCTCTGAGCCATTTCTTCCGATTCTGATTGCGATTCCGAGCTTCACAGAGAGAAAAACACAAAGAAGATCTAGGAATCCTTCTCGTCAGAGAGAGAGAGAGAGAGAGACTTAGATCTTTTAGAGAGAGAAAGAGGAGAGAATTCTCAAACGATGTAAAAGGTTGGGTTTGTGTTTGGGTTAGAGAGAGAGAGTGAGAAATGGGAATTTGAAGGGGTTGAGAGGTCAGTAATGGCGATGGAATATGGGCCTCATAGAGACGCGTATCAAACATTTTTTGGATTTTGAAATTATTAAAACGCCCTTTGGACTTTTCTCGATTTACTTCAACTTTTCCCTTTCTCTCTCCTTTTCCTAGTGTGTCTCTGACGTGTTAATCTTCATTATTGAGGGAATTATAGATTGTGGTCGGCTTATGATGGACCGGTATGGAGTTGACCATACGACGAGACTCAGCCGTCCAACTTAATTAAAATCCTTTTTGTTTTGATAAAGTCGTACAAAAGTCAATTTCCCTAAAACTATATATGTTTTCTTTCTTTTATAATTCCATTACCCACGAGTTTTATTTATGTATTTGGAGAATTTTTATTGATATATGTTTATAATTTGGACATTATAAAAATACAGTTCCATAATTTTTTTTCTTTTAAAACAAATAAAACTACTCAATTACTGAATAATGATGTTTTATATTAACCAGTAACCATAACCGGCATGCCTACCCAAAAAAAACTCCAATCCACATGCTAACTTATGTGTTTCAGGGAAAAAAAAAAGGCCCAACTAATAGTACTATAATACAAGATGCTTTGCTAATCATGCCTCTTCTATAATGGAATCGTTTTATTTATTTTTTGGTTGGAAAATAGAATCTTTTTGTTGAGCTTTAATAAATAGTACATCATCTTTCGGCAGGAACAGGAAGGGAATTAAAACAATATAAAAATACAAAAAAACAACACAAACTTAAATTTACACGTCCTAATTACTAATTAGTTTATGGGACATGAAAAAGAAAAAAGCAAAACAAAAACAAAACAAAGCTGTGAAAGGCGATATTTTCTTTCTTTCTCTCTCTTGTTTTTTTTTTTCTCTAATTCTTGTATCAACTTGATGTATCACATCATGGTAACGTGGGTGGAGAGATAATTATATAAAATAAAAATAAACAAAATAAAAAAAACGTATGTGGAGAGATAAATTAAAAAATAATAACAATAATAAAAATCAACGCGGCGGTGGTGGGTAGGGTAGAGTCGTAGAGAGAGAAAGAGAAAGGGGTAAAATTGGAAAAGTAGGAAAAAGGCTTTAAAAAAAAGAGAGACCCAGTTGTGCAATTTCCTTGAGACGCCCAAGAGGGGGGGGTGGCCAGCTTTTTTAAGCCGCCCTATCTGACCGCATTTCATTTTCTCCCAACTTCAACTTGGATTTTAGCCGTGCAAATACCAATTACTCTCTCTCTCTCTCTCTCGTAATAATTTGTCTTTTCCTATTTAATTCAATAATAGTAATATTTGAAAATGTTATGTTATTTTTACTCTTTGCTAGGTAACATTAATCGCGTCATGCGTGGCTATCTATGCCTCAATTGTTGTACAATATTCAAATATTATGGAAAAACGTGCGGGACACGTAAAAATATTCAATTCTGTAGCTTATAAGTGGTGTATAACTATAATTAGATTATTTATTATGGTTACGGCACACTCTTTTTTATATGAGGTGTCGAATTGAAATTTAACTCATAAATAAAATTGAGATGAAAGGAATTGTCTATCCTTAACTGCTCTATGGTCTACATAAAGTTATTAAAGTATTCTCTCTCCCTTACTGCGGGTTTCTTTTGATTTTCTTGCTTAGGGGGGTTCGGTGCTGCTAGCTGAACGCCGGACCCCTTGAGACAGTTGCTGGTGTTAGTTTTGAAACGTTTTCAAAATGCGAAAACATGGTAGTGTGAATCATGTATAACAAAAAAATTTACAAAAATTTGTAAATACACTATACATTATATTAATTTATATAATAATAAAATAATATCATTAATTTATAAAAATAGACATCTTGCTAACGATTAGAAAAATAACTTGAGGTCTCTGGTCAACTAACGTTCCTTGCTCCAAAGCTTTCTTAGAATACCTAAGTCTTCCTCGTCTACTTCTTGATATCGCAAGACGATGAGTGTGGGCTCAAAGTATAAACTATCGGAATAATCACTTACTAATTTTGTATTCTTTCACTATCAACACATATATGTGAAAAACTATAACTATTCTTTTATTTTTCTCTCTTAGGGAATTTGGCCAAGACAAATAAATTTTAGGAGAAAATTAACCTCTCCAATTCTTATTGTCTCCTATTTATAGAACATTAGGAGAAGCATTTGCTTGTAGACAAATCAAATATGAAATTGGTAACTACTATATTTTAAATCTCATTAAAATACAATTTTTCTTTTTTCTTTTGAAAACAAGCTTTCATTTCCCTTTTGATTTAGGAAACAAACTTTCTTTCCATCTTTATTTTTAGAGGCTGGTCATATCAAGGAAGGAGAGAGAAAAATTATTGTTTTTTTTCTAATTTCTAATTTTAGCTCAAATTTAATTCCAAATAAAGTAACATCTTACTTTCCTTTTTGAATTTAATTTGAAAACTTGTCAAATAAGTAAACTGACTATTTAGAAAGCAAGTAATTAAATCCCAATGGGATTTTTCTCAGTATCACACGCCCCTTGTGGTCCCACCACAGTGTGTGACAAAATAATTAAATAATCACATTATTTAATATATAATTAAATCTCAATTAATTATTCGCAAGTGTAATAAAATCCTGACAATTCATCTTGTCTTGTAAATAATAATACAATGATGACATGAGGACTTATGGACCTATAATTCTGAGGTCCAATAAAATTAATAATTATTAAACTCTTTAATTAATTTATTAATTTTATTTATTCTAAAAGTTACTCCACTAAAAACTTAGAATTGCACTCTCAAAAGTATAAACATAATTTACTTCTAAGAACTTGAAGTGTCCATTTGATATAGTCATTACACATAGATCGATCCTCCATAAATAATTCATAATTATAGCTAGGTAAAATACACTAACCTCTCTAATTACATATTTATCCTTGAGCACCATTAATTCTCTAATAAATAGTATATTCATAAAACACATTCATGCATACGAGCTCGTTACTTATTTAAGTACCAAATCAACCCTCAAGTGAATTATTTATTTGTTTGTTCAAAGAAGAATGAATATATTCCATCTTGTATATTAGCATTCTTAGCTATCCATTTCATCATGTTTCTAAGATACAAGAAATAGGATTTACGATCTCAAAATCCGTACTGAGTAAGTCAAAGAATACAAATCCATAAATAGGAGTATACTAACAACTCAGGATTAAGATCATTCTATATATGACCGTCAGTAGACTCAAATTTGATTTTATATGCTTGATGGAAATTATTAGAAAATCAAATTGTGTTTGTGTCCCAGTTCTACATAATCTCATTAGTTATTATGCATAATACACTCATTCAATATCCCTATATACTAATGATGTGGATAACATTATTCCATTCTTAATGGGAATCACATGTATTAGTAATATTTTAATTAAAGATTCTGAAACTTTATTTAAATTTATTACGAACATCATTTCGATTATTATCTTTAAATATTATCCTCTCATATATAACACTTATTTACAATATTTAAGGTTACATAAATAATCACGAAATTTTTTATGATATTCATAAAGTATTCAATAATACAATATACATGCACATAAATAATGAGTAAATTATTTTATTAATCAAATAATAAAATATCATCGTTACATCTCATGCTTAAAGACACCAATCCTAATAGCCGGTTCTTTGTGTATAGTATGATTTGTGGCTATGAGTGTGGTCCAATGGTTGTGGAGGTGAAGATCTCACATTTTGAAGGAGTTTGACTGCGCTTATGCTTCGGTGTTTCTTTGATGTGGTTTTAGGGAGGGGCGGCGTGAGCTATGGAGTGACAGATGCTGAGATTAGAGGCTTGGTGACTTTCAACTGTGGGAGGCACGAGATTTTTCAGGCAGGGCTGTGGTGCGGGGGCTTCATTCCCAGTGGTACAATACTCTTTTTGGGATCTCTTGCGTGTGGATCCGTCGTCAGCGATGTTGCTCCTTTGGCAATGGCACTTTTCATATCTGACTTCTCTCGCTTCTAGTATCTTGGTGGTAGGCTTGGTGCTGGAAGATCTACTTGTGCGGCAGAGTCCACTTTTTTGTAGTGTTTGTTTGGTTTCAATAAAGACATTGATGTTTTCATCGTTTAGGGTTTGGTGTTTACGTTGTTGTGTTGGTTTTTTGTTGTGTTTAGTCAGCAAGTTATGGTTTTTTGCAGTGTTGTGGTAGGCCTTACTATTCTTGGTTCCTGGACTTTGATCGAGCAGAGCTATCTACTAGCTTTTGTGGTGCTCGTAGTGTGTTTGAAAGAGCCAATTTTTTACTCAATTTATTATGTGCCTCTTTGGTTCCTTTTGTTGGAACTTGGTACACGCGTTACCCACTTGATCGTTTCAACCGAACCTCACGTGGTCGGGATTGAGTCGCTAAATGCGTTTGGGTGTTTTGCGTTTTGATTATTGATTGTATTTTTCTAATTTGGAATGCAACTCCCATTTTCAAATAAAAAAACTTATAGTACGTATTGTATTTTTGTTTGACTAGTAGAAACTGTATTTTAGTTACTGGATTAGATTTAAAATATGAGCAGTTTCATGTTTCCAGCATTAAATTTTTAATCGTACATATACAAATTTAAATGTTAAAGAACTAATCTAATAGTTAAAAATAAATGTATTATGTTTCCAGTATATGTAATCATGTTGATGTAATATATTTATTTAATATATTATTATTTAATATATTATTATTTAATATATTTAATAATGTTATTTATTTAATATATTTAATAATGTTAGAAATCAATGTTTAAATAAAACTATCAAACATATTTTCAGAAATATTTTCAAAACGAAAATGAAAACGTTTTCATTTCTATTTTCATACAGAAAACAAAATCATTTTGAAACCAATTCCAAGCGCACCCCTTGTTTTTTCTAATTTCCAATTTTAGCTCAAATTTAATTCCAAATAAAGTAATACCTTACTTTCCTTTTTGAATTTAATTTGAAAACTTGTCGAATAAGTAAACCGAATTACTT